TCTGTGTCACGCTTGACACACGTCAAGCCACGCTTCTCCGTCACGTGACCGATTCCGCTTAAAAACAAAACACCAGAGCTCGCAAAATGAGTAAAAAAACTGCTGGAGATCAAATGACAGCGGCCTTAAAAGTACGTTCGAGACAACTGGATTAAAGTTATGGCTGAATATTCTGAGATCGCCATAGTAGCACTGTTGCTATTTCCGACATGCTATCTGTGTGAGGCGGGGCTTTTCTGCAGCAACGGCGACTAAAACAAAATTACGAAGTAGACTTGACGTAAAACACACACATGAGGTGTCATTGTCTCCTATTACCCCGAGATGGGACCGTCTGGCTGCAGAAAATCAAGCTCGGGGCTGTGGTGAGTCATCATTTTCGTGCACTTTGAATTTGCATTGTATCGTATTTTGAAGGCATTAAACATTACCATAGCGATCAGAGTGTTGCGGCCAGATTAGACGCTCCTTGTGTTTATTATTATATTTCGAAAACACCACAGTTTTCATGCAGCTCATACCATATTATTTTGTTGTATTATTTCCGCCACACCTTAAATGCCGGTCCCTGAAAATATTGTCTGACATAAACCGGTCCGTGGGGCAAAAAAGGTTGGTGACCCCTGCTATAGAGTGTGTCATAGGGCAGACTGACACGTGCTGCTGTGTCTACAAGGTACCGCAGTTGCATCATAATCTTTCTTCAATCCGCTCTAAAACCCCGGCATGGGTTCCACCTCACAATTGTTGTAAGGCTCATAAACGCAGAATATGTATTATACACCAAGAATTAACATTAATCAATGTTACATACGACTTGTCCAGTCATACATGCTTTTACATAATGTTGTGTGTTACCATCTCTATGATATTGTGTTCCATATGTCAGCCTACATTAAATGCTTTTATGGGTCTGGGATATGAAGCATGGAAGGAGACCAGAAGAACATTGCAGTTTTTGCTCTCAGCCAATGAGAGCACTCTAAGAGATGACTGCACTCTCCGTAGTAGGTGAGTCTGTGTAGTTAATCATTTTCACCAAGCTACTGCTTTGTATGTTTAAATTACGGCCACATTTTATCAGTGAAGTCACACAAGGTGTTTTTAGTGTGGAAAATTTATCACTCATAATTGTGCCAAACTCAAGTTCCATCTTCAGGCGCAGGACTGTGATTCAAGGCATTAGGAGTAGTAAAATCGATTCCTCAACAAGTCAGCGTGTCCATCAGGCAGGGAGGAGTCAGCTCCAAAATTTTCTTGACAATAACATGTTCCCTTCGTGCCCATTAGACTAAAAACTGTTTTCTGATGAATATTGCATTTGAGGAATATGAATTAGGCAGCAAAATCTATCCGTTTTTATCCACCAGCCATTTTGACACTTGCTGTCGACTGAAAATGACATCATGGTTGCACAGCAATGAGCAATCACGGCTCAGTTTGCAAATGTCACATGACCAGATGCAGAAAACGTGAGCTGTGATTGGTCGTTACCTGGGCCCTGAGCAACTGTGATGTCAAGATACGACATTACAAATTATTGTTTGTAGATTCTTGAGTTATATCATTGTAAAATTTTAAATTGAATAGAAAAAAAATCACAATCTCTTTGGTAATGCTGATTTTAAGGTTGATCCTATTTACCGTATTGGCCCAAATATAAGACGGTGTTTTTTGCATTGAAATAAGACAAATAAGAAATAAGAAAAAGTGGGGGTCGTCTTATATTCGGGGTCTAGACATCATACCCATTCACGACGCTAGATGGCGCCAGATATCATTGAAGCGAATGCTGAACTTGACTCCCCAGGCAAAAGTGACCAGCTGTCACAAAGAATAAAAATAAAAATAGCGGTAGCACGAAGAAGAAAAATAAAAAAAATAGCGGTAAGAAAGAAAAGAGAAGAAAATAAGAGATAACAGAAAATGGAGAAACGTAGCGACAATCTGGAGAAAAGTGGGTCGAAGATCGGCCAGGTTAACCGGCAGCTGAGGAGAAGTTATGATGTAATTTACATTTCAAAAACCAGAAGCCATTCATTTACGAATGTGATTGCGCTTTAGTTTACATATTTAAATGTTCCGATATTAAGATTTGAATGAGGCAAAATAACATGCTTTTTCTCTCAAATATATTGTTATAATCATTTGTTTCAGATGTACTGTCATTATTTTCTGTATAAAAATTAATTTGGTGTTCAAAAAGTCTTTTTTCAAACTTGAGTTTTGAAAAAGAGGGGCTCGTCGTACAATCAGGGCCGTCTTATATTCGGGCCAATACGGTAGTTTCATAGCACTCCTTTGTTGAGCTTCTATTTGTGCCTGTCTTGTGCCACTTGTTCATTTGCTTGCCTTCTACATGCCATCAGCTTTTTCCCTCAACTTGTCTTCTGCCCAAATGGCTGTCTCGTGATTGATCATTGTGTGTTTAATCTCCATGTTTTCGTTTTGTCCCTGTTAGGTCTGCATCAACCAATTTGTCGAATTGGATATTTGTTGTTTTTACTGGTCACTTTGAGTACCCTGTATGTGGCTTCACTGTTTTTATCAGTTTTATTTATTTTTTCTTTGCATACTCTCGTTAGCAACAGTTTTCCATGACATTTTGTATTTTGGAATTTTCCAGACTACACTTGTGAATGCTCAATTGACATTTCCCGTTCCCTCTTTGTCTGGCACAGTATATGCAAAGAGAAGTTTCAAGTGTTATCTTTTCACATGCCTTTACCGGTAGTTGTTTCTTTTTTGTCATTTGTGTTTCCTACAAATTTGAAAATAATTACTTTGTTGTTGCTCATTTTATTCCACCCTGGTTTTCCTCTCACTTGTTTTTCTTTTGTGTCTGCAGAGCTTTTGTCCCACAGAGCGCAGCCAAAATGCATCTTCCCGCTGATATCGGTCGGTCCACACTCAAATGCACAAAACCAACACTGACACACACACAAAAAAATGTTCTATTTGGAGAAAGGAGAAATTGTCTTTTGAATGATTGATTTTCATAATTTACGGCAGTTCCCAGTTTTCCTGATAAAATGTCTCCAATCACAGAGTTGCCTGTCATTCTTTCTATGAAAATTTATCATCCAAAGAGATTGAAGGAGAATATTAGTAACCAGATGGCAAAAAGTGTGTAGATCTAACCAGTGGCGGGCCGTGCATTTCAACCTTAGGCCTTCAGTGACGTTACATACATACACAATATAGGCTCGTCAAGCAGCACTTAATTTCAGGAGCATTTAAAACCATCAAGTATGTATTCCCAATTAACAGCAGGAAACTAAATTTACAGATATTGTCAAAAATAAAAAGATGATTTAAAAATACGAAATAAAATGCCACCCAAATTACGCTGTGTGATCTCAAACAAGTCTGTCCAGTAAATTGCGCAATGTCGCAGTTTCATATAAGACACCAACCAAACAATAACAAAACAAACTATTATTTGAAAATAAACAGATCATTTGCATTTTGAAAATCGGCGATACAACAGCAAATAACCGAAAATGTTGAGCAGCTGAGATTGAACGAACTTTCGTGCACGAAGGTGACTACAATGCGCCATTATAAATTGCAGGTGAGCAGATTTAGTGTAGTTCTCCACAGCGTTTGCTTATTTGAAATTAAAGTCGATCCTCCTTTCTTTTCTCAGGAACACTTCAGTGGCTCTGTTGTACAGTTTTCAGGTCCATTAGCAAGTCCTTTTCTATCGACATGGAAGCTAAT